AAAAAAAAAAAAAAAAGTAAAGACCCATCAGTGTGCAGTATTCAGGAGGCCCATCTCACATGCAAAGACACACATAGACTCAAAATAAAGGGATGGAAGAAGATTTACCAAGCAAAAGGAGAGAAGAAGAAAAAAAAAAGCAGGGGTTGCAATCCTAGTCTCTGATAAAATGTACTTTAAACAAAGATCAAAAGAGACAAAGAAGGGCATTACATAATGGTTAAAGGCTCAATGCAACAAGAAGAGCTAACCATCCTAAATATGTATGCACCCAATACAGGAGCACCCAGATACATAAAGCAAGTTCTTAAAGACCTACAAAGGGACTGAGAATCCCACGCACTAGTAGTGGGCGACTTTAACACTCCATTGTCAATATTAGACAAATAAATGAGACAGAAAATTAACAAGAATATCCATAATTTGAATACATTTCTGGACCAAGCAGGCCTAACAGACATCTACAGAACTCTCCACCCCAAATCTACAGAATATACATTCCTCTCAACACCACACTGCACTTACTCTAATATTGACCACATAATTGGAAGTAAATCACTCCTCAGGAAATGCAAAAGAAGGGAAATCATAACAGTCTCTCAGACTGTAGTGCAATCAAATTAGAAATCAGGATTAAGAAACTCACTCAAAACTGCACAACTACATGGAAATTGAACAATCTGCTCCTGAATGACAACTAGATAAACAATGAAATGGAGGCAGAAAAAAAGATATTCTTGGAAACCAATGAGAATGAAGACACAGCATACCAGAATTGCTGGGACACATTTAAAGCAGTGTCGAGAGGGAAATCTATAGCAATAAATGCCCACATGAGAAGTGAGGAAATATATGAAATCAATACCCTATGATCAAAATTGAAAGAGCTAGAGGAGCAAGATCAAAAAAACTCAAAAGCTAGCAGAAGACAAGAAATAATGAAGATCAGAGTCTTCCTTAAGGAGGCAGAGTCACAAAAAACCCCTAAAAAAAAAAATCAGTAAATCCAGGAACTAGTTTTTTGAAAAGATCAACAAAACAGACAGACCGCTACCCATAGTAATAAAAAGGAAAAGACAGAAGAATCAAATAGATGCAATATAAAATGGTAAAAGGGATATCACCACTGATTCCACAGAAATACAAAATACCATCAGAGATTACCACAAACAACTCTATGCACATAAACCAGTAAATCTAGAAGAAATGGATAAATTTCTGTACACTTGCACCCTCCTAAAACTAAATCAGGAAGAAATTGAATCCCTGAATAGACCAATTACAAGGTCTGAAATTGAGGCAGCAATTAATAGCTTACCAACCAAAAAAAGTCCAGGTCCAGGCATGTTCACAGCCGAATTCTACCAGATGTACCAAGAGGAGCTGGTACCATTCCTTCTGAAACTATTGCAAATGATACAAAAAGAGGGAATCCTCCCTAAATCATTTTATGAGACCAACATCATCCTAATACCAAAACCTGGCAGAGACACAAATAAAAAAGGAAATTTGAGGCCAATATCCATGATGGACATCAATGTAAAAATCCTCAATAAAATACTGGCAAATTGAATGCAGCAGCACATCAAAAACCTGATCCATCATAATCAAGTAGGCTACATCCTGGGATGCAAGGCTGGTTCAACAAACACAAACCTATAAACGTAATCCATCACATAAAGAGAACCAAAGACAAAAACCACATAATCATCTCAGTAGATACACAATTAACAGACAAACAGAAAGACCAATCATTAGCCAATTCCCATTCACAATTGCTATAAAGAGAATAAGATACCTAGGGACACAAATAACAAAGGATGTGAGGGACCTCTTCAAAGAGAAAATCAAACCACTGCTAAAGGAAATAAGACAGGACACAAAGAGATGGAAACATTCCATGCTCATGGTTAGGAAGAATCACTATCATAAAAATGGCCACATGGCCCAATGTAATTTATAGATTTATTGCTATCCCCATCAAGCTGCCACTGAACTTACTCACAGAACTGGAAAAAAACAACCATAAATTTCATATGGAACCAAAAAAGAGCCCTCATAGTCAAGACAATCCTAAGCAAAAGGAACAAAGCTGGAGGCTTAATGCTATTTGACTTCAAACTATACTATAAGCCTACAGTAATCTAAACAGCATGGAACTGGTACCAAAACAGAGATATAGACAATGGAACAGAACAGAGGCCTTGGAAGTAATACCACACATCTACAACCATAAGATCTTTGACCAACCTGACAAAAATAAGCAATGGGGGTTTATTACACAGGATTCCCTGTATAATAAATGATGTTGGGAAAACTGGCTAGTCACGTGCAGAAAACACAAACTGGACCCCTTCCTTTCACCGTATGCAAAAATTAAGTCCAGATGGATTAAAGATTTAAAGATAAAAACCCTAGAAGAAAACCTAGGCAATACCATTCAGGATATTGGCATAGGCAAGGACTTCATGACTGAAACACCAAAAGTAATGCCAACAAAAGCCAAAATAGACTAACAGGATCTAATTAAACTTAAGAGCTTCTGCACAGCAAAAGAAACAATCATTAGAGTGAACCAGCAACCAAAAGAATGGGAAAAAAATTTTTCAAGCTACCCATCTGACAAAGGACTAATATCCAGAATCTACAAAGAATTACAGCAGATTTACAAGAACAAAACAACCCCATCCAAAAGTGAGCAAAGGATATGAACAGACACATTTCAAAAGAAGACATTTATGCAGCGAACAAACAGATGAAAAAAGGCTCATCATCACTGATCATTAAAGAAATGCAAATCAAAACCACGTTTAGATACCATTACACTCCAGTTAGAATGGTGATCATTAAAAAATCTGGAGACAACAGATGCTGGAGAGGATGTGGAGAAATAGAAAAACTTTTACACTATTGGTGGGAGTGTAAATTAGTTCAACCATTGTGGAACCCAGTGTGGTGATTCCTCAAGGACCTGGAAGTAGAAATACCATTTGACCCAGCAATCCCACTACTGGGCATATACCCAAAGGATTATAAATTGTACTATTATAAAGACACAAGCACACGTATGTTCATTGCAGCACTGTTTGCAATAACAAAGACCTGGAATCAACCCAAATGCCCATCAGTAATAGACTGGACAAAGAAAATGTGGCACATATACACCATGGAATACTATGCAGTCATAAAAAAGATGAGCTCATGTCCTTTTCAGTGACATGGATGAATCTGGAAACCTTAATTCTCAGCAAACTGACACAAGAACAGAAAACCAAATGCTGCATGTTCTCACTCACAGGTGGGTGTTTAACTCATAGGTGGGTGTCTGTTGGGTGTTGGGGGATAGGGGAGGGACAGTGGCAGGTGGGGAGTTTGGGGAGGGATAACATTAGAAGAAATGCCTGATGTAGGTGATGGGGGGATGGAGGCAGCAAACCACCATGGCATGTGTGTACCTTGCAACAATCCTGCAAGATCTGCACATGTACTCCAAACTTAAAGTAAAATAAATAAATAAATGTTGAAAGGGAGAAAATGAATATATGTCTTATTATATCCTTCACACTCTAAAGTGAACTAATATTTTACAAATAACTTAAAAACCAATTAAAATTTTCTTTCATGAGAAATAATTCAGAGATATAAAATACTTATGTGAGTTATAAACTAGACATTCCAGTAGTGACCAGTCACATAGACCACACTGCTAATGCTCTTCCAAGTAGTCAGTAATATGGTGGTCCTAAAAACTCTGTGGTTTTCATTATTATTTTAGAATACCTAATACCTTATATTTAATATTAGAATGATGAAAGATCATTAGGAAACATAACAGCCCTCACCCACTCTTGGGTAATAAATACATGAAAGGTGTACTTTTGTAAAACAAAAGTTTAATAAACCTAATGAGTCAAATATTTTTTCTTATTAAAGGTTTAAGAATAGCAAGACTTTTCAATTACATGATTTTTAAATTTTAAGAACATGCTTCCTATTTCAATAATACTAGAATACATTGTGTAAAAATTAAAAATGGAATATTGGTAAACCTTTAAACAATGAGATTCTTGCTCTCTGTATGAAACAATTCATCTCCATTGATTTTTTTTTGCCTTAATAGTCTCTAATTCAATTTCCAAACCCACTAAAGCACAACTTCTATATTATGAAGTATTCAGAACTTCTCTGTGCCTATATTTTTATCCTTATATTTAAACACACATACACACAGGTTATACACAGACTATCATTCTTACCAAGTATCTTATTCAAAATTTTCAATATATAAAAATTGCACTGACCACTAACCTTAGTGATTTAAGTACTTTTATTAGTAA